GTGCTGCCATGACGTTTACCTCTGCCCCCATGAGATGGAGGACCAGGTGTGACCCCCCCCCCCCCCGCCGCCAGCTAACAGCCACAAGAGTGGATTTGGAGTTCCTTATAAGGAAGAGATTTCTATGGAGTAGAGCATTTCAGAGGCGGAATGATCTGCCTTACAAAGTAAATTTCTTGGACCCGAGAAAGCAAAATGATTTCCCTGCTTTGAGGTCTGGCTAAGCCTTCTTCATGCCTCTAAATTAAGCCCAAGAATCACAGCTTCTAGAAAGATTTACTGACCCATCCTCACTGCTCTAATTTAGATGTCTCCCTTCTCCCCATCCTCTGTTACTGCTTTCTCTTAATACACTCTTATTAGATCATTTTCACACTACATTGTAATCACAGGTCTTCCTTCCTGTCTCCCCAAATAAAGCATACAAGGCAGAAACAGTTTTCTCCTTCCTCATGTCCAGGGCACCTAATACATCATAACACTTAGTGAATGTGGCTGAGTAAATACAACAGGCCCGAATTTCAGCAATTACAGACTCACTCACAATTACTGAAGGCAAGATGGAAACGCCAAGAAATAAAGTCAAAAACTAGTGCTAAGTGTGAACACTGAAATCACAGAGGAGGGTGCCAGTGGGGACTGGGCTCTCAAGGGTGTCTGATAAGGCCGAGGGTACTTGATTATTCATGATGGTGCCACTGAGCACTTGCCAGGCCCCCTACCACACCCCATCCATCAGCATTGTAGTTACTGTCTTTTTTTATTTTTGAAGATATTTATTTATTTATGAGAGAGAGAGAGAGCATGCATGAGCAGGGGGAGGGGCAGAAGGAGAAGCAGACTCCCCACTGAGCAGGGATCCCAACATGGGGCTCAAGCCAGGACCCTGAAATCACGACCTGAGCCGAAGGCAGACACTTAACCGACGGAGGCTCCCAGACGTCCCGATAGTGACTGCCTTTTAACAGAGGAGGACACAGCCTTGGAGAGGTGGGGGACACTTGCACATGGCTGCTGAGTCACTGGAATCTTGCTCTGCTGGATCCCAAAGGACTTTATCCCAAACAACTAAAAACAGCCTCCCAAAACACATACACTGGGAAAAAAAACACACAAAGTGAAAAAATCACAGTAAAAGAAAAATCTAAGTATGAAAAACTAGTGGAAGCTAGGAGTGAAGCTGCAATGTGCCATGAAATGGGTATGATGAAGGGAACATGTTTTAGAGGCAAAGAGAGCCCAAAGATTCAGCTTCTGGGTCTTTGCATTTTCCCTGGAACCCTCCTGCTTAACTTGGGTCCCTTTGCTAGCTCACAACTCCCATCTTTTCTGCTTGCTAACAACAGTGAGAAGTACATTTCACATTGCACCAAGAAAACTTGTATTTTTTAAGTTATATTTTTACATTTTTTTAACGTATAATGTATTATTCGTTTCAGAGGTACAGGTCTGTGATTCAACAGTCTTACACAATTCACAGCACTCACCATAGCACATACCCTCCCCAATGTCTATCACCCAGCCACCCCATCCCTCCCACTCCCCACCACTCCAGCAAGCCTCATTTGAAGAAAATTTATATTTTATCCTCTTTTAACACTTGGGTTGTGACATGTCAATTTAAAGCATTTCAGTATTTATTAATTACGTAATCATGGATGCATTTCGCTATGTTAATTATGCAAGCTACAAGACAGCGTTAACCATGACTTCAAAGAAACAGAAGGCACTTCTATTTGTATGTCAATGTATAGTTTTTGAAATACAGTCTGTTCTGCTCTAATACAATTTATGTGTTCCTAAAAATCACCACCCGCTGCAAAATTTGCACAATAAAACCACGGGGTTGACAGAGAAAGTTGGGTTATTAGGACAACACTCAAATGCTTCATCAGCGATACATGCATTTTTTAAAAGATAAATTTTAATAAAAATGGCAGCACAATTTTAAACAGTTAAAAATATGTAAGTGCTACAATAAACGTGACACTTTATACTGAAAAATACCTGAAGTTTGCTTGTGGAGGTAAGTTTCTGAAGTTCCAGCTCTGAGTGATAGTGAAGGAGCACTGTCTGAAATCAGACAGACTAATGTCAGATGCTCATAACAGGGGCGGGGCTCATAACAGGGGTATTGAATGGAAGTGGCTGGGAGATGTCTGAGGTGCGTGTTTCTGCATTCCTATGCACCATGGTTCAGCTGGTGACGTGTTGTGCAGTCACACAATGTGCCTTGCAGGTGAAATCGTTCTTAAACAAATTCAAAATTGCATTTTGCTCAAATGGCTTCCAAATATAGCAATTGCATTGGGAAAATGTTACATTTTTCAAAATAAGCATAAGAGCAGAATTGACTATCTTCATAATCCTATTATTATAATTTATAAAACATTATACACATGTCATCTATTTTCATGCATGAAAAACAACTTATAAAGTAGGTATTATTATTGTAGCCCCCACCCTATCTTTCAGCTAAAGAAACTGAGTCCACAGTCACCGGGGGTCTCTTCAATATCAGTCAGCTACCAGTGGCTACGCCAGGTCTCAAATACAAGTCTTCTCTCTGCAACATCTCTGCACTTCTCCCAAAGTACTTCCCACAGGGCATTCAAGCTTATTTTTTATTTTAAAATTCTTTTCTTTAATCCCATACACATGCATGTACATACACACACAAAGTATTGTAAAAAAGATTCATTGTAATAAAAAGGAAACAAAAAGTCTGCAACATCCATCATAACTCTGTAAACCTATGCCTAACTGCCTAACTTCTCATAAAATATACATTTAATGTGTAAATAAAGAAGTATATCCTCATATCCCACTGTCATAATTTCCTGGCTGTATAGTATACTACTTATCAACAGACATATTTATACATTTCAAGCTATATTTGTATGTATTCTAAGTTTAATATATTACTGACTATATCTAAATTTGATCCTTCTGGAACCAAATGTTTATGGATTGAAAAGAAATTTTTTTAAAGTTATGAACCCATCCAAACATTCATTAAAAAAAAACACAAAGAAAAAATGTATCTATCTATAAGCCTGGGCAGAAGAATCCTCATTCTTTGATTCAGATACTGAGGATACAGGGTTTCATGCAGCCCAACAAGCATCCTAAGGATGTCGCCGCTGATGCCAACATTGCATTTGACTTCTCTCACGTGAAGTTGGTGATGTTGATTCACCTTCCAGTGAAGGGTGGGAGGTGCTGTAACACAAGTGTGCAAAGTGCTGGAGAAATCAGGGGCACCTGAGCCAACCTGGTCAGGGTGAGAGCCTAGAGAGCCCCAAAGAGGAGGTGACACAGCTCTGAGTCCTGAACGGACAGCTCAAGTGCACGGATGGAGGTGAAGACACAGCAGACCCGCAGGGCGTACAGCTCGCAGGGATGCTGGCGTGAGAGCCAAGGTCAGGCACAGCCCGCCCAGGGACAGGGCAGGTGGTGCGCAGGCTGAAGCCCAGAAGATAAGACAGAAGTACTGAGCCTCCCAGGACTGGCAAGAGCCTTGAAGTCTTCCTTCCAAACAACTTCTAACACTCTGAGAAGCCTAATGTCTGAGTTTGACACTGTCTACAAAAATGGTTTTCAAATGGAAATAAACATCTGATTATCGTTTTCATAAGTCAGGGAAAAGACAGAAAGAGAGCAAGATTCATTATGTAAATACATGAAAAATGCATGCGTTTTACTACCAAAAAAAGAAAGAAAGATGTTTATCCACACAGGGGAGCTATATGGCAGAATAAGCATTGTTAAGAATATTCCATACCTACAATAACCAGTCTTTTGTAAGATCCTTGAACTCCTCTGCCAGTGATAATTATATCATGGTGAGGAGAAACAGAAAGGAGAAAAGGAACAAGAAAAGGTAGGAAATGTATACATCTTGTACCAACACAATTTATAAATATTGAAAACCGTGATTTTCCACCCACAGCAAAGCAAATGTCTTGCTTGTGTTACGCTTATTTTACTATGTCACATGCTACATGGAATCCCAAGTGACCAAAAGCAGTTTTTCCCATTCAGCAAAGGGGTTGCCTTCTCCAGGGGTGAGGATTTGCCCCCTGGGCTGTGTTTGCAGAGCTGGGAATGCAGGAGGATCTGAGGACTGGGGAGATCACTTCGTTTATGAGCAAATGATTGATGAGAAAAAGGAATCGACATCACTAACTTCATGTGAGGGAAGTCAAATGCAATGTCTCAATCTCCTGATCTTCTTTTGGGAAAAGGATGAAGAGAGAACACTACAAATAAAATGGGTCTCATTCTGGCCTTTCCTTAGAAAAGTCAAGAGAAAGACTCGAGAAAATGAGAACCTAAGTATTTCTGCCAAAACCCAGGAAAATATAAATTCTGAAGATGGAGAAGAGAGACCCCCTACATGACAGAGATGCAGATGTTGATCTTTATGCATAAAGGCACAGAGATTGAGATTTGAATTCGAGTTTGTGGTAAGTGGCCTGATTAGTACAGTCTAATAGGCACTTGATACTCCTAGAGAGCTCTGGATTTATCATAAACGTGGAGCCACAGGCAAACTTAATCCATCCCTCGCAGCTGAAGCAAGCCGGGCAGCTCAAGATGGACGCGCTACCGTCCCCGGTCCCATCCATCCTCACTGGTCTAAGGCACAAAAGTCAACTTGTTCCCTCAACTTTTTGTAACATAATTTAAAAAAAAAATTATAACAAGTTAAAATTATTTGTTACCGATAACCCTCCCTTTGTCTTGTGAGAGGGATAGGTACTAAGGTGAGCCTCTTGATTGTTGAGCTTAGATGTGGGATGCAGTGGAGAGCCCAGAGAACAGATGAGTGTTCTTCATGGGAAGAGGAGACCTAGAGTGATGTGGGTGGGGGTCCAGGGATGTGGAACAGGCAGGCCCCCTCAAGGCTGGAGAGACAATGCTGACAGAAGCTTTGGAGGGAAGACAGGAATCGGCAGAGAAGAGCAACGACTATAGGGAATTGCTATTACCTTCTGCTTCAGAGCATCCAGTACTCTCTCTTCTCCGTCCCCCTATCTAATCCCTGGTACATCCACATCACCTGCTAACACTTGGTGAAGCTGTTTGCCCTGGTCCAGGGCGATGCACCCACAGTCCCGCGTCCTCCTCTGACCACGGTGTTGAGATCGGCAGTCCGTGTGGACCTCACGCACCACTGCACAGACCTGGGAATGTGAGAAACCACACCCCGAATCAGTCTCAGACTTTGAGATTTTTCTGTAGCTACTCTTCATATAAGCAAGTAGGTCGGTCAAGGCAACCAGAGTATGACCATCCTACAGCTATTCATTCCCTAAGGAGGGGAACAGATTTGTTTGCTGCTCACTATAGAAGGTGCCGAGGCACTGGCCCCGGGGCTCCTCAGCTGTGGCATCACCCACTGAGAACATGGCCACCATCCGAGCATAACATGTCACTCCCTGAGACTTGAGGTTGGGGTACCAGACCTCCCAAGCTGATATCCCTGCCTTCTGCGGCACGGTGGGCAGTAACCTGTCTTGTCGCAATCCAGTGAGGCTCCTTCTCTACAACTGGGCCTGAGGGAGCTGTAGCAAGCTGACCTGTGGCTTACTTAGTTGGTTCCTTTATTTTTATTTTTATTTCTTTTAGGTTTTGGTGTTTTTTTGTTTGTTTGTTTGTTTAGTTGTCTCTTTTAGAGCCTTGTTCTTCTTGCCACCCTCCATGACTTCTGCAGAGGGCCAGGTAGTAAATAGCGTGTTTTGTGGGCCATTTGGTCCTACTATAACTCGTCATCTCTGCCATTCAGCGCTAAATCTGCCATAGACACCATGTCAACAAAAGGGCATGGCTGTGTTCCAGTAAATGTTTATGCCCAATGAAATTTGGGTTTCACGTAATTTTCATGTATCATAAAATATTACTCTTCTTTTAATTTTTTTTCAACGTGTAAAAATGTGAACAACCATTCTTAGCTTGTAGGCCATCGATCAAATGGCAGTGGGCGGAATATGGCGTGTGGGCCATGGTCTGCCAACCCCTGTTCTATGAGGCTGAAGTTCTTACATGACAAACTGGCATAGTGAGCAAGGGTACCATGAAAGGCAATTAATTTTTTTTTTTGGAAGAGAAAAGGCAAAAAATCCACAGGACAGTTTCAAAATTTTGAGGGAGCTGTTAGTAAATGTTCTTGTCCAAATGATGGGCAAAATGGGGAATACGCGGCCCAGCCCTGTCTTACCTTTTAATGACAATCACTAGTGACAATGGACAGAATCTGAGCAACAAGAGGGATTGAAGCAAACTACTGAAATGGGGCCATGATTGTTGCCTGTGCTCCTATGGGATCAGGAACCAGGAGGGCATCTGAGTCCTGTCAAGGAGGAAAACAGTTTGTTAACTTCAATGTGAACTATCCCTGGAGAGGGCAGTATGCCCTCGTGCAGATTGGAGTCAGAGCAAGAGAAGGGAAATCCTGAGCTCTTGGGTCAAGAGGCTGGGGAGCTGTGAGAGGCACAGCTGGTGCCCTCGTGTGATGAGAGGGGCAAGAAAAGTTAACGTTCTCAGAGGGCAAAAGGCAGCAGCAAGGCTGTCTCACGCTTGACCCCACGCTCCCAGCCAATATTGAGGATATTCAGTTGGGACAGAATCATGCCCCTCAGTAACACTTGCAACATCTCAATGACAATAATTACACTATGGCTAACCTGGGGAGATTTCCTTGAGACCAACAAAATCTCATGGAATACCGTGGACACTGTATAATGCAGAGAGAACACAGAGAAGGTTGATAAATGTTCAAGATATGCCTCCCCTCCCCCAAAATGGGGAGAATTCCACTAAGTGGGTCATTAGAACCAAGTGACCAAAGCAGGAGGCTGTAATAATTTAAGGCAAAAAAAAAAAAAAAAAAGGCCCAGGACAAAGAAAGACTTTCTTATACTAGCAAAGTCTCTGCAATCCAAGGGGGAGAGGAAAAGGATGGGAATAAAAACAGACCTCCTCCAGACATAAGCCATGAGATATGCTGTTAACACAGGGGTTCTCGGTGAAGAGACCAACAAGCAGAAGAAATCCAGTCCATGCAACTAGCAGTGGGGGATCCCCAGCAGGCAGCTTGTCTACCTGGTTGAAACTGGAAGTGACTCCATGAATAGCAATCTCTTACTTCTGTAGGAACCAAGATGTCAGGAGGCCACCTAAAGACAGATCATTCCTTCAACTCTTCTGCTGTCTGACTCTATGTCCTGATGTGAGTACCTTTAAGAAGAGGGTGGCATATAGCAGAGCTGAGGCCTCTCTGTCCCTGGGGAACAGAGAATTTAAGCACCAGTGAGGGTACAATGGGGTAGGGATGAGATTTCTTTGCATAAAAGGGCTGAAGTGACCAGCTGACCAGATTCTTTCAATGGACAAGGTCCATTCATTTAATTGACCAGAGTTGGAAATGGTTAAAAATAGAGAAGGAAAAGAACTTCAACCATCTGGCAGGCCCCTCACACACCTATCACGCACTCCCACGAGTGTAAATGGTATGGATGTTTTACGTGCTTACACTGTAGTGTTCATAAAATGCAAGGATGAGTTTCCTAGTTGAGAAATAGAGAAATGATGGGAGGAAGAGTACATTATAGACCACCAACTAGGCTGCCCTCCCTTCTATACAACAAAAGCAATACAGAACTTCAGGACGAGCCCAGGAAACCACAGCCTGATTAATGTCAGCAGGTATTGAGACATTCAATATCTCAATCCAATAGCCTATGTAGCCAGTGAGAAAACTAATGAGAACAGAGGATTACAGTGGATTACTGCCCACTGAATTAAGTGGTTGCTCCTACAGCCCCAGCTGTTCCAGGCATTGTGACTATAACAGAATCAATTGCACAAATGGATGGCACCTAGTATGCCTTCTTGAATACAGCTAATGCTTTTTTCTTGATCCTGTTGACACCAAAGATCAAAATCTTTACTTAGCTGGGACCTTGATATATATGCACTGGGCTGCTAAAATCTACCTAAATCCTCCTGCTATTTGCAGTGGATTGGCAGAGACATGGAACAAGAGAGGTTTAGCTCCACTAAACTGAAGGCATCAAGGTCACAGGTCCCAAAGAGAAAAAATGGCAGTAATGTTGCAGCAGATGCTAACTTACATGAGAGCCCATGCCTGGCTCATTAATCCTGATAAGATGAAAAAGGCTCAAGTCAAATTCTTCAGAGCAATGGAGGTTAAAGTTCAAAAGTTGATCCCTAAGACCATGAAGGAAAATATACTCTGCTAATAAAAAGAAGCCCAGCACTTAACTGGGTAATTGAGTACTGGAGACAAAATGTGCCTCATGTAAGCATTTTGTTGAGTCCTATGAACAAGTTGACCAGAAAATCTGCCAAAGTTCACTGGGAGCCTAGGTAGCATGCAGTTCAGTGGTATGAGCAATCACACCCTTGGGACCTACAAACCAAGGACCTCTTTGAACTACAGGCATTTGCTGCTGGTAAGTATGATTGGAGGCTCTAACAAAGGGAGCAACTACCATGTACAGGTGCACCTTGAGGACTTGGACCCTCAGCCTCTCCACCGTGGCTTACTCACTAACTCTTCTTGAGAAACAGTTATTAGTCTGCAAGTGGGCACTTCAACAGTTCATTACACAGTTCCACCAGGTAACAATGCACCCACGTATTCCTACTTTGGCCTGGGTCCACTTGGATGCTAACAACCAGGTTGAAAAGGCATATAGTCTCCTCTTGTGGAATGGAAATGATATATTCAAGTGAAAAGCAAGTCTGGTCCTATATGGTCCAAGGAGGTAGGTCCTCCTTACATAAAAGTTTGCAGCCACACCTTTGGAGGCCATTGTATCTCCCCTGATCACTGACTGGAGCAGTGTTTGACTATCTAGGGGACTCACTTTCAGGTAGCCCCTGAGTATGCTCATGTTGACTTATCCAAACTAAAAGACAGTGGTGTCCACTGGGTGGCACCAGGCATCCAGTCCCAATGACAAATCTGGATGAATGACTCAGTACAATGGACCAAATTAAAAGCCATTACCCTTCTTGGACAATGTTCCTGGGGACCAGACATTTTCTGTTTTCACAGATTTGTTGGGCTGTCGCTAACAGCCTAGCTATCTAGTTAGATACCAGGGTGATAACAGACTGGAATATTAAATACACCTCTCTGTGGGAACTCAAAGCCATTGCCATCATACCATGAGACATTTATGTAACCTATGGAGACATCTTTTCTCCTGCCATGGGAAGGATCAGTATTTAGATGATACCAATGAAAACAAAAGAGCTGATCAGAACTGCAGAGCCCAGCTGGCCAGTTTTGCTCCCTGGATTCATCACTGGACTGAGCCTCTCAATCCTGCTATCATAACCCAATGGGCTCAAAAGATGGACCTCCATCTCTATGCCAAAAAGGCTAAATTTGGCCTACCAGGATTTTCCTACCTGTCAGCAGTTGATCTGACTTCCTCCGAGTGAGCAAGGACATAAATTCAAAAGGGCCCCTATCCATTCTTGTCAAATAGACATATTGGTTTTCTGCCACTACCTCATGGCAGGGTCTAATAGCCACTGATACTTAATCTCATTACAGAATTGTGACTTGTATGAGATGGCACATTGTGACCACACAATTGTAGCACATGAGACTAAGCTGGCCCACATTTGTGATTATCCAGACAGTTGTAATCAGACAGTGGCACACAGGTCATGGAAAAAAAAAAAAAAAGGCCCAGCAGTAAATTGAAGTCATGGTATTTGATGGACATCCTCCGATCATCACCAAGAGCCTGAATGGACTTTTAAAGACTCAGCTCATAAATATAAATGACCAATCTCATTATCAACAGTATGGATGACATTTCTTAGCCAGACAGTGTGGGCATTAGAGGAAGCTCTTCCCTGTAAGGGAGTGTCCCTTTTGGGATGGCAGAGGCGAGAAGGAACAAGGAGACCACAATCTCTGTATCTGGGATTCCACCCTGACAGTCCTGACCATGACTTTTCTCTTTGTCCTTTGACTCTAGCACCAGGAAAGCTGACAGATATCATCTGAGGGCTGGGCAAAGTAAGAAGTGGTGGCTAAAAGATTGGATAAACAGACCAGTTGGCTGGGAAGGGAGATCAACAAGCATCTGGAGAGGGTCACCCCAGCCCACAGGAGGTACAGGGAGGAGGGCATGGTTAATGCTTACCTTGTCCCCTACTCCAGCATGCCACCTGGCAAACAACCATACTGTCTGTCTGGTAATAGAGCAGTGGCTGATAATCTGGCCCACTGCTGGATCTGTCTGTCATTCCTGTCTACTTGCTATGGAAACAGAAAAACTCATGTGGGCATGGCCAGTTCTGAATTAGTTTGCTGTGCCTGATACACCATAAGTCATTCCCAAACCTGGCCACTCCCCACTTTACACATCTATAAACACCCAAAACTCATTTTATCGTGACTCAGACAAATCCATATGCTTCCTCTGATGCCCAAGTGGTCTTAGGTTAAGTCACGTATGGTTATTGAGGTGGCAAATACTATTGACACTTATCCACTTGGCTGAACAAAGTAATACTGCAGTAATCCAATTAAGCTTAACCATAAATCCCACATGGGTGACCTGTAGCCATATAGTTGTATGTTAAAGAGAATGGGGCATGGAAGGTCTTTCCATTATTGCCCCCTACAATTATTGGCATTGACACCATGTTCTTTTTGTTGGGTCCCTGGGTAAAAAGGTATACAAAACCCCTTAATTCCATAAAGTAATACAAGCCTTGTTCCCTGTCCTCAGAGTCTGCATCATAAAGACAATGGATGGAACCTATCCTTGACTTGAGCTCCTCTAGCCAATGAGACAGCAGAAACCCCGGAAGGTCAAGAGGACAGTCTAAATTCCTAATGGATGATGGGTCATACTAGGTAACAGACTGGTCTCAGACCACCCCAGGCCTGCACAAGGGGGTATGAGCATGGTCACCAACACTTCTTGTTATGGTTAGATTAATACCATTACTCAGATGGAACAGTTCATACACATCGTAAGATAGACAGCCGAATGGTCATTTGAACAAGGCCTATCAGTCCACTGAGACTTATTCAGTAGGATAGGTACAGGAGTTAGGGGGCAGAGCTAAGATCAGTATTGCCAATTGGCCTCATTTGAATGATCAGAACTTGGTTAATAATATCAAAATAATCAAGTGTTCCATGAGATAAATAAGTTTTGTCCCAGTCATTATCAATGCACCTAAATTGATTCGCTGACAAGGTGGCATATTCATGGGAAGATCTGAGTTCAGGGCGCCTGGGTGGCTCAGTCGGTTGAGCGGCTGCCTTTGGCTCAGGTCATGATCCCGGGGTCCTGGGATCGAGCCCCGCATCCGGCTCCCTGCTCGGCAGGGAGCCTGCTTCTCCCTCTCCCTCTGCCTGCCACTCTGCCTACTTGTGCTTTCTCTATCTCTCTGTCAAATAAATAAATAAAATCTTAAAAAAAAAATCTGAGTTCAAACAAGAACTTCTAGGGCTAAGGGGTGGGGCTAAGGGGTGGATTTCTGGAAGGGGCAGTCTGTCATGGACCCCAAGCATCCTGCACATCCATGTTGAGTATGGTAATCTGCAAGACCCAACTGTCCTCAGATCCTGAGCTATTTCTGGAACTAGTCATCTAGGCATTAAGTAGGCTGAGGCACCCATAGCATGTATGACTCCTTGCTCCCTGGTAGGGCTATGGGGCCAAGGGGAGAGAACCGACTTGTCTAGTGCTTTGTAAAGAGTGCTGGGCCCCTGGAACAAAGTATGTCAACTGTAGCACCATCCACTCTGTGCACAGTTGCCATCTGGGTCTATCACATCATCCCATGAGACTCAGAGAAGGAGGATGGGTGCTCCTGGTCCCTCTGCTGCTCCTAGTCTTGCTGTGCTCTCAGTATAAACTGCCGAGGTCTGGTCAGTTGAATGCCGTGACCTACTTCTAGCACTGATGGAGCTGCCTCAAGCCAACCTGCTTGCTTGCTTAGTTGTCTCCTCTGGAGTTTTGTTACTCTTCGCCATCCTCTAGGAAGCTGAGGTTCTTCCCTGAGACTGAGCAAGATATAAGAGCAGGAATTTCCCACGGGGCCCAGTCATACCCAGATGACATTTGGATTTAAATCCAAGAGCTCTCTGAAAGAGAATTCATGATGAGATTTCAAGACAGAGATGGTTGTGCAGCTGACCCAAGTGAGCTTCATTGATGTGACATTAAAGACTTCAAGGTACAGGGGGGAAGAGATACAGGGGAAAGAAGGCATGGATGGCATAGGAATGGAAGAACGGGGTCAAGTGCTAGGCAGTAGTCATGTCTTTCTCTGATCCTTGGCTATTTTGCAATCCTTGTCCAAGATGAAAACTCCCAAAGCTCTCTGGCCTTGGATTAGAATCACTCTATCCCTGAGATGAGAAGCTGGCAGGAACGCTGAGTCTGAACTGCCTCAGTGTCTGGTGACGCTTTTCTTCACTTCAGAAAGGATGCACTGTCTAATTTGCATAGTTCTCCGTTTGTGACTTGAACATAAGTTTGTGGAGATAGAGAAGAGCAGGTTTTCCCTATCCCAGCAGCTAAAACAGATGGCCATGGATCCAATTTGTTTAGAATAAATTACTGCTACCGTAAGTGGAATAATTTACACATATGATTTTTGTAAATCTTTCAGCTAAATCAGCTAGTCTCCACTAACATTACTGGGATAATGACTCTCCTAAGAGAACATAATTTATTGGATACCAGGTAAACAGAAATTTGCAAATGCAACTGAGCAATGATTTTTCAGTATGTGTGTGTTGATGAAAGGAATCCACACATTATAAAATTGTAACATCTTGTAAACAAAAACTTAGTTCATACACCATATTTCATATTACCTAAGACATTATAAGGCAGATTTCTATTTTATGACCACTAAAAAAAATGCCAATTAAATTGACCTAATATATTCTCATCATTGAGAACTTCTATACAACATAGACCTGAATCCCATCAAAAATCATGTTTTTGAATTTTATTTATTTAATTACCTACTTATTTTTATTGTAGTAGGAATACTTAACATGACATCTACCTCCAACAGATTTTTGAAGTGCACAAGGCAGTATTGTGTTCACTATAGGCACAGTGTTGTCTAGGGTATAAAGTCTCAGCGCTGCCAGATGAAAAGACTGTCTTTATAGAAGAGGCACATTCTTGTTTCTAGGATTTTCTTCCAAGCTACTGACTCCTGTTCCTCAAGTTTTGATGCTCCCACTTTTTTTATTTTACTAGAATGTGTCAAGGGAGGATTTTCAGATGACAATAAAGAAGGCATTTTAAAATGCTGGTCAGCTCAACACCTACAGTACTGCTGATGCACATGTGACACCGACATGCAGGATACCTGTGACCATGGTCATGTGTGGGCAGGCAGCCACATCCATGGCGTGGCGACTGCCTGGCCTGTAGCAACTGTGAAGCGTCACTGATTATAAGATGCATCACAGATCAAACATGTATCTCTAATTGCTCTCCTCACATTCTTACTTCGGCTCACCCAATCGAGTCCAAACGGTTCTTTGTCAAGATCACAGTGATGTCCACATTGCCAAACCCACTGGTCAATTCTCTTGAAAGTTATTTGCAGTCACTTTCTCCTCCTCTTGACACACTGTCTTCACTCAGCTTCCCGATCCCACACACTCTCGATTTGCCTCTTCACTCCCGGGCTGCTCCTTTCCAGTCGACATTCCTGCCTCCTCCCTTCTCCCCCACCTGTGAGTGCTGGCCTGGCTCTCCTCTCAGCTCTGGCTCTCTTCTCTTTCCATGCTCAGTCCCGTTGGTGAGATCACCAGTCTCATGCCTTTAAGTACTGCTATGGGTCTGAATGTTTGAGTCCCCCCAAATGCATACGTTGAATCCTAATCTCCCGTTAGTAAGCAGGCCTTTTGGGAGGTGAGTAGGCCATGAAGGTAGAGCCGTCCTGGGTGTGATTAGTGCCCTTATAAAAGAAACCCCAAAGAGCACCCTTTCCCCTTCCTGCCATGTGAAGGTTCAAAGGGAAGATGCCCATCTAAGACCCAGAAAGAGGGTCCCCCACAGACACCGAATCTGCTGGCATCTTGATCTTGGACCTCCAGCTTCCAGAACTAAGAAATAAATGTCTGTTGTTTATAACCTGCCCAGTTTGTGGTATTTTTGCTATAGCAACTCGAATGGACTAAATCTGTTCACCGTGTCCAAATCTATGGGTCCAGCCTAGACGTGTCTCCCAAACTCCAGACCCACATAGCCAACTGCTTACCCAAGATCTCTGTTTGTCTAACAAACTGTCTGTCGCTCAGAACTGAACTCTTACCCTCTTCTAAAATCTGTTCTACTCACCATGCCCACCTAAGTTGATGGCAACTATTTTTTTACTTCTTAGAACCATCCAGGCTCCTCAAAATACCCTACATTCCACACTAGACCATCAGGAATTCTCGCTCCCTCTTTGAAAAAAATGTCCGGAATTTGCCAGTCCTCACCACCTCCATTCCTCCCACCCTGTCTGTGCCAG